GATCATCACGTACTACAAACATGTATAAAAATAATAATTACACATATGAAGGGATCCAAGGGATGTAGCACGGGGATGGGGATGGGAGGGAGGGGGTTAAAAAAAGAATTAAGAAATATCATGTACATATACCAATTCCCCACAATGAAAGTAGCCATTATGTACTATAAACATATACCAGTAAAAAAGAACATGTACTCATTGAAATGTGGAGGAAAATACTGTTTTATTGCCCTTCCTCCTCTTCAGACAGAGACATTATCTTACTACACTGGAATGTAACCAAATCTCCTCTGGGAATGTCTCCAGAGAGGGAGACATTCTCTATCTTTACTATCCTGGAATATAAACAAATGTCAGCAAATTAGTTGTTAATGAGTAAACTTGACAGTTTCATGGAAACTGGCTCAACAGGAGGCTAGATTTCATCACACAAAACAAAAATGATATGAAATGAATGTAGAATACTATGAGATAAATGTAGACGACAAGAGCATCTTATATATCATGACTGCTGTCCCTGAAGAAGAAAAGGAATGGATCTGAAAACAGTTCAGCAAAATAAAACTTCCCTGAAATGAATGATTGGAATGATTCGCTATAACTAAGGTAAAATTAATTCACAAAGATCAGAACCAAGGTATATGCTTCTATTAGATCCTTACCTTCAAGAATAAAACTGAATCATATGGCAGAAAGGCACATTATACACGAGAATAAAAGAGAATAAGTTCATCTAAGATTTCTCAACAGCATCTCTCAACATTACCATTAGGATATGTATCAAGATCTCAGGAAAAGAAAGTACAACTGTATAAATCAGGAAAGCATAATCACTGCATATTATGAAATAAGGGATTTTTCAATATTAACAATATCACGCACAATTTACAGTAAGATATGGGGACATAAAGGTATAAAAGGAGGTGCTGAAAGATTAGAGAAGTCATTGGCATTGGTAGATAAACCAGAGCTTTCAAGAAAATCTGAGAAGCCAGGAACATCCAGCTGTTAAAGTGGGTCTGTGAAGGGGAGCTGACCAAGTCTAGGAGAAGCCCTTCCCTCTGGCAGCCCAGGGCCAGCGCCTGTCAGCAGGACTGGGAGGTGGAAAGCCGGGCTGGATATAGAGTAGAAGAGAGTGACGAAAAATGGGAACCTGCTTGGTACCTCTCTGCCTCTGTCCTTCACTCTATCTAACCTCAAAGTACTTTAGAGGGAAGGTTGTTCCTTCCTTGACCTCCCAAATCTCATATAATTTCTACTTTTTTTTTTTTTTTGAGACAGGGTCTCACTATGTAGTTCAGGCTGGCCTTGAACTCACTATGTAGCCCAGGCTGACCTCAGTCAGGGCTATCCTCCTGCCTCAGCCTCCTGAGTGCTGAGATGACAGGCGTGCGCCACCACATCTGGCATAATTTCTATTCTTGACCAACTCTCAATTTTCAGTTTAAACCAGGTAACAGCAGAACAACCAGCTTCATGACCTAGTATTTTTCTAACAGAAAATTTACTTTATAGCTAAGTAACATTATCTCAATTCAGAAATTCCTTTAGATTTGCTCAATTGCTTTCTTTAAATCCACCTCCAAAATAAAATGCATCAAAGTCAACAATAGCCTCCCTTTGGGTCACAAACTCAAGAATCACTTTCATTTGCACATGAATAGAACTGCAGTTTGAACAGGTTTTCCAATGAAACACTCCTTGGAAACACACTTCTCACTTGAGCCCTCTTCTCACCTGCTATGTTTCTGGCTGCCCTTTTTCCTTATCCTCTGTAAATGAATCATTCTTGATACAGTCTTCAAATGCGGGTCGCACAAACTCCAAGTCCTGGGCTTGCTCTTTCTGTTAATTCTTACATTGCTTTAGACAGTCCGATGAGACTCACATGCCACAGACAAGCTCTCAAATCTCACCTCATTTCAAACAGAGAATCACAGCAGGACCTAAGGACGTTCAGTGAGTGGGATGTATCTCATTTTCATTAAGAATTTATCTCCACACATAGACCTATGAGCTACACAGATAAATGCATGAACATCTTATGGGTTGAATTGTGTCCTCCTAAAAAGATACGTGGACATTTTTAACCTCAGGACCTCAGAGTGTAACCTTACTTGCAAAGAATCTTTACAGAAGTCTTCAAGTTAAAATGAAGTCATTACGGTGGCCATGAATGCGATATAGCCTTACAAAAGGGTAAATTTAGACATCAGACAGACACATAGGACCACAATGTGAAGACACAGAGAAAATGGCCATGTCACTGGAGTGATGCATCTTCAAACCGAGTAACACCTGAGTCTACCTGAACCCAGAAGGGCATGAAATTGTTCCTCCCCAAGCATCTTAGGAGGGAGTCCTGATGACACATTGATATTTAACTTTTAACTTCCAGAACTGTGAAACAATAAATTTTTGTAGCTTTGCTGGGTGTGGTGGTGCATGCCTATAATCCTAGCACTTGGGAGGCTGAGGCAGGAGAATCCCCATGAGTTCGAGGCCAGCCTGGGTTACATAGTGAGTTCAAGGCCAACCTGAACTGCGTAGCAAGAGCCCGTCTCAAAAAATAAAAAATAAATTTCTGTAGCTCTAAATCCTCTAGCGTGTGGTACTTTATAAAGCAGTCCTGGAAATGAATACATTTCTCAGTCAAATTTACGAGATAGGTACTAGTGTGAACATCTTCTATTAGCTACAAAAAATCAGTACAGAGAGGTAACTAACCTGCCCAGTGTTACACTGGTAGTAACTGGTAGAGCCAGGATTGGAACTCTAGTAGGCCTGTTCAAGGGTCTATCTGCCTAACCATTATGCGCACTACCTCTTAACATTTTTGAGATAAGGTTTTGCTATGCTGCCTCGTACTCCTGAGCTCAAGTGTTCCTTCTACCTCAGCCTCTCAAGTAGCAGGACTCTAAGTATGCACCCTCTTGCAAAGCTTACCTCCTAACATATTTTTGCTCCTAGTGACCAAAAAAGGTGAAAATATTGATGAATAAATTTTAATATGTAAATGTCTGACAAATTACTACATATATGCAACTATTAAAACATGCTGAATAATAAAGCAAGACGTAGATATGGTTATATGGGATGATGCTATTTTTGAAAATCAAAGAGGAAAACAACAATCCTTACAAAATGTCTCTATGGCTATAAGCATGATATATATATATATATATATATATATATATATATATATATATATATAAAACACTGATGTTTTAATCTGTGCTTATAGTAGTTGAATAGAACAGTAGTTGAATAGTAATGATTATCTGTTGGATAAGAATTATAAAGGAGGAAATAAATTCAGTAAATAGTGAATTTATCAGTTAGCTTTTTCTGGGTAGTAAGCCACCCAAAACTTAATGACTTGAAACAATAAACATTTTAATCCATGATTCTGTTTTCTGGGATGAGGAGGTTGTATGTCAGAGCTTTCCTAGTTTGGGCCAGTGTATTATAAACCTGTTAGAGTAGAATTACTCTAAAATTAAATTAAGCAGTTTAAAACAACAAACATTTATCATCTCACAGTTTCTGTGGGCCTACAATTCAGGTATGGCTCAGAAAGGTGACACTGGCTGCAGGTCTCTTATAAGGTTACAGTCAAGCTGTCTGTCTGTGATCTCATCTGACGGCTATACTAGGAGAGGATATACTCCTATGTTCACTCAGAAGGGTCTTTCCACAGGGCTAATGAGATGACAGCTTACTTCCCCTAGGGTGAACTCTCTGAGAAATCAACATTGAAAATAGAAGCCAGTCTTTTTGTAACCTGGTCTTGGCTATGATACACCATTACCTCTGTCTCATTTCTGTTCACTTGAACCAAATCACTAGATCCAGTCCATATTCAAGGGGAAGAGCATGACTAGCAGGAAGCAGTCACTCAGGGTAATCTAAGGGGATACTGAATTCGCTGCACAGCTACCTAGTCTAGGGATGGATGGCTAGGATGTCTGGCAGTTGACAATCCAGCTGGTCTAGAGTGCCTCCTCTGGGATGCTTTGTGTCTGCTCCACCACTATTCCATGTCTCTCATCTTCCAACAGTCCAGTCCAGGCTTCCTTACACATGGGCCCAGGGTTCCAAGAAAGCAGCAAGAGTAGGGAAAGCTCGATGTGCATGTACTTCTTAAGCCTCTGCTTGTTTCAATCTGCTAATGTCCTATTGGCCAAGCCCAGTTTCAAGGGTTTCAGAAACAGATTTTATATTTTGATGGGTGAAATGGCAAAGTCATACTAAAAAGAGGCTTAATTCCGATCATGGTGGCCAAAGGAGACTCTCTATCCTTTTGGCTTCTGCCTCAGATGTAGGTATCGGGAAAGGGCATCATTCACATCCTTTTAACAACAAAAAAAGCTAAACAGTCTACAAACCCGAAAGTTTTCATGAATCTACCAGAAAGCTATGATCACAGAGGAACCAACTAGCTCAAAATTTAAGAAAAGACAAGTGCTTTCAAGGAGGCAGGCAGTGGGTCGCCTGTGGCAGAGAAGGATGCTGGGGGCCACCACAGGAACAGTAAGAATTCAGCAAGAATTTTTTATGAGTTGCTAAAAGCTGAGTGTGGGACAGTGAGGATACAGACTCCTTGAGAACTGTAGACCTAACGGCTTACACACTTGCGGGCTTTTTCCTCACAGACCTCTGCTGGCTGCTCACAAGGAAACGCCGGGAGGAGGGTGAGAAACGGGAGAAAGCCTCTCTCCATGGTACAGACCTGGAAGGGGAAAGCTGCTGATACAGAAATGGCCCAAAGCCCCAATGGGCCCCTACTCTCCTCAGAACAAAATCCTTAAGCACAGGGGACAGTACATCAAACCCTTGTCCTTAGGACACAGGTGAAGTTTTACTGTGATGAGAGGAAGGGAAAAGAAAAACAAGGCTGGGCGTGGTGGTGCACGCCTGTAATCCCAGCACTTGGGATGCTGAGGTGGGAGGATCGTTGCAAGTTCGAGACCAGCCTGGGCTACAAAGTGAGCTCAAGGCCAACCTGAGCTGCATTTGGAGACCCTGTCTCAAAAAGACAAAAAAAAAAGAAAGAAAAGATAAACAAATCTACACATGATGGAATGCGAGGAAACCATCCTGGGCCCAGACCACAAGGGGCAGGATCAATGAAAAAAAACCCACCCCTGAAAACCCAGGGATATAGAGCAACTCTTGCCCCTCCCTACACACCAGGTCGGCAAGAACCAAGTAAGAGCAGCAATCTACTGCCAAGGACGAGGCAAGAGTATGGAAAGAGACCCTCCCTGAAATGCAGGCACATGGGAAAAGCCTGAAGGCAAGTGTGGTCCAGGATCATTGAGAAAATTCTCTGAGAAACCAGTGTCTGTTACAAACATAAGGTAACACTGGAGGAATTTGAAGTCTAAGGTACACTGAAGTCACAATACTAACAATAAAACAGAAAACCAGCCCAATTGCTGACTAGATGGACTCAATCCCACCATGCCAATGGCCTATCAGAAGAATAGCCATGCTTATTTCCAGGAATAAATATTATTTACCTCATCTTATACTAGCCTACATACATTGTCCAGCATTCAGTTAAAAATTATTAGATGCAAAACAGCAACAGAAAGCAACCCACTGTCGAGAGATAAAGCAATCAGAAGACCCAGACTGTAGTCCAGTTACTGGAACTATCATACAAGGAACTTAAAATAACTATGATTAGTATGTAAAAGGTATTATAGAATAGATGCTTGTGTCCCCTCAAATTTTGTAGGCTGAAATGTAGTCCCCAATGTGATGGCATTAGGAGGTAGGGTCTTTGGGAAGTAGTTATATCATGAGGATTTCCCCATGAATTTCTCAGAGAGTTGTTTCATCAGTGGGACTAATGTCCTTATAAAAGGGACCTCAGAGGGCTCTCTACCTCTTTCTGCCAAAGGAGAATACAATGAGAAATTGGCAGTCTGCAACTCAGAATTGCGTCCTCAGCAGAACCCAAATCATACTGACACCATGATCTCAGATTTCCAGCATCTAGAACTATGAGAAATACATTTCTATTATTTATAAGCCACCCACACTATGGTGCTTTCTTAGAGCAGTACAAACTAAGACAGAGGAAATAGTAGAAAACAGGAACAACATGCATGAACAGATGGGGAATTTGGCAGGAAAACACACACTGTAAGAATCAAATGGAAATACTAAAAGTAAAAGAGAAAACAAATGAGATGAAAATGCCATCAATGGATCAGTAGTTGTGAAAGAGCCAGGGTGGGAGTGGAGATCAGTGCACTTGAAGATAAACCAACAGAAATTATCCCAACTGAAATACAAAGATAAATATAGGCTGAAAGCCACATACAGAGAGAATTTTGTAGCATTTTTCTAACATAGTGAATCTTCTGGTTACAAATTATTCACATTACCACTCCATGCAAAGTATGTTTACTTTCATTCCAGGACCTCCAAATAGTTCATCCAAAATTATGGCATCAGGCTCAAATCTAGGGTTTTGGTCTTTTTACCAGGTTCAGATGTTACTGAGGCTCTTCAGCCAGAGTTTTCAGTTTCTTGATCCTGTGAGCTAAATGACAAGCTACATGACAGCACCTCCCATATATCTACATGGTTGTATAGTGATAGGATAACTGAAATAGATACTTCCATTCAAAAAGAGTAGCAAGAGGTACATATCAGTCACCTTTTCGTAAGTTTTGAAATCCCACAGAGCAGATGCTAGTAGGATCCCTTGCTCCAAGGGTAGATAGTGCTTCTTGATTATGGCACAGGTGTCCCTGGGGATGGCTCCCCAGGCCATTTTTATATACTGTCCTTGGGTCTTTCCTCTGAGACACCTTTTGTTTCTCGTAAGAAACAGTCCATGTTTGCAGCTGAGTAACTTTCTCGCCTTGCATCCTTTTGTAGAAGTTAGGAAGGGAAGTCCAGAGCCCATTTTTCATTTTTAACTGTTTCAGACCCTTTCAGTTCAATCTGGAGGTAGTGTCACTGGTAAAACTCTACCACCAACTTTATTGGTTTCCGATGAATCTGGTTGGATCAACTTCATGCCCCAAGTGCCACACCAACAATTCTTTCTAGGATAAACTTTTCTCAGAGCAGTGGGTCAACCTACAGTAGGATAATGTCACAAAGATTTTTAGATGCCCATTAGTTTAGCTGAGAGACTCTCCCAAGCACCAATACAATACAATGTCTCACACATTGCAATAAAGGGTCTTACAGACACATCCATGATTTGATATTTACCCTGAGGTCATCTTCTACTTTGAGAATATTTTGATGGCTGGAGAGATGAGCTATGTGAAACAGTTATTTCCCACCTCAGTTAGCCCTGGCTTTTCTGTATTTCTTCCGATTCTGCTTGCCAGTAGAACCATTACTTTGTTAATTCATTTCTTTCTGTCCCCTATCATACAGAGCTAAAAGTAGCAAACTGACACTTTCCATGTTCTGCTGAAAATCGCCTTAGTCAGATCCACAAGTTCATGTGACTCATTCTTTATCTTCCCACAGAGCATGACAACTGTTTTGCCACTTTTTCCTACTAAATGATGTGGGTTGCCATCTTTTCCGGCCTTTGCTAACAGTTTTTCTCGCTGTTTTCCCAGTCTCCACCTGCTGCCCAGGCCCAAAGCCAATGCCACATTATGTTTGGGTGTAATACTCCACACATATATACTTTTAAGTATTACTTAGCATTTGTTTGTGACATACTACCCCCAAAACATACAGCTTAAAACAATGATTGTTTTATTTATATCACAATTTTGCACATTGCTTGGGATAACTGGAATGACTATTCTGGGCTAAGCTGGCTTTATAAGGCCTGGAGGTCCAGGAAGGCCTCACTCCCGTGTCTGATAGTTGACAGGCTACTTGAAGGTCTCTGGGGCCTCACTGGGCTGGCTTGCCTCTGTTCTATATCCTGTTTTGTCGCTCCAGTAGGGAAATCTGAGCTTCATCACACAGAGGTCTCAGGATTCCAAAGAGCAGCAAGAAAGGGTAAGTCTCAAGGCAGGCTTTCACACTTCTCAAGGCTCTTCTTGAATCTCTTTGGTAATGTCCATTGCCCAAAACGAATGACGTGGTCAACTTTAAAGCCAAAGAGTAGAGAAAGAGAAGTTACTTCTTCATAAAAGCAAAGGAACATCGCAAAGGGACATGCATAAAAGTATGGGAGGAACCTGTGGCCATTTTGCTTTGTACCACAATGAAAGAAGATAGAAATACTAGTCATAGACACCAGTATGAATGATAAGATTATATTTATGTATTCGTGTAAAATTATATCTGCAAATGTGTACACATACAAAACTAAAATGACTTAATTTGCAGAATCACTCAATAGAAACATGCAATAGACATATTTGATGGGCCCAATCTTCTAGATTTGAAGAAAAAATTTCAATTCAATTATTCCTCCTGCTATGCAATGTGTTCTGCCACAGGCACCCTATACAATGGACAGTAGGGTTATATATCAAATATATTTTCTTGTCTAACATTTCATTATTACTTTGAAATATTTACTATAACATAGTAAACATGTCTGCTACTTACATAATTTTGCACCCTCCTTCCTATAAAAATTTTTCTAACAATTTGCCTTACTCTACTTCATATAGAAGGCCTTACTCAATGCATCAAAATGACATTTTTTCCAAGTATGAGTTCCACTGTATTTTGTGAGACTGTACAAATATGGAGATTCTGTCTCCTTCAATTCATTAAGAGGGTCTTTTCTGAATAATTTTTCTCATCTCAGATAATACAGCCTGATTATTGCTTTTTCTCATACTATGTATTCATCTAGGATCTGTCTTGGATGGATTTTATAATACACACTTAGACCTGACTTTTGTGATAAAACTCTCATTCCCAAGAAACAGGGTTTCATGTATGAATATTGCGATGCATACTAAGAACTGATTTCTGGGTGAAGCCCTTCCCACAGTCACTGCATTTATAGGGTTTGTCTCCAGTATGAATAGTTTGGTGTTTATTGAAGTTTGACCTGTCGGTGAAGGCCTTCCCACACTCTGCACATATATATGGCTTTTCTCCTGTGTGAATTCTCTGATGTACTTTGAGATGTGGTTTCTTGGAGAAGGATTTATCACAGTCAGGACATTTATAAGGCTTCTCTGTAGTATGAACTCTCTGATGTGTAATTAACTCTGACTTCTGGATGAAGGCCCTCCCACAATCTGTACAGGCATAGGGTTTCTCTCCTGTATGAATGGTCTGGTGTTTATTGAAATTTGACCTATCAGTGAAAGCTTTCCCACATTCAGCACAGATATAAGACTTCTCTCCAGTATGAGACTTCTGGTGAGTATTGAGATTTGATCTGTTAGTGAAGGCCTTCCCACATTCAGTGCATATATAGGGTTTCTCCCCTGTGTGAATTCGCTTATGCATCTGGAGTTGGGACTTAGAAGGAAATGATTTCCCACAGTCACTGCATTCATAAGGCTTCTCTCCAGTATGAATTCTTTGATGGGCAATCAAGTGTGCTTTCTGGATAAAGGCCTGCCCACATGCAGTACATATATACGATCTTTCTCCTGTGTGAATTCGCTGATGCATCCTGAGTGTTGACTTTTGGGTAAAGGCTTTCCCACACTCACTACATTTGTGATGTCTCTCTCCAGTATGGATTTTCTGATGTATATTAAGAGCTGAGTTCAGGGAGAAGCCTTTCCCACATTCACTGCATTCATAGAGTTTTTCTCTGGTATGAGTTGCTTGATGCCTAAGTAGAGATGACAGCTGGAAAAATGATTTTCCACATTCACTGCATTTATATGGTTTCTCTCTAGTATGAGTTTTCTCATGAGTCAATAGTTCTGAATTCTGAATGAAGGCCTTCCCACATTTAGTACATACATATAGTTTTTCCTCTCTATGAACTCTTAGATATATACTGAGTAGTGGTTTCTGTGTAAAAACATTTACACATTTGTTAAGTTCATGAGGTTTTTCTGCAGGGTGAATTCTTGAAGGTGCAAGGAGGTGTGACTTTTGAGAAAAGCTCTTCCCAAATTCAGTACATGTGTTTGCTTTTTCCTTGACAGGAAATTTCAGATTTTGACTGAGTTCATGTTTGAAGCTGAGGACTTCTCCACATTGATTACTTTCGCAGAAGTTTGCTTCCCTGTACACATTTTCAAGAGCAGTATAAGGAGTACTTTGGGCAAAAACTTGACCATGGCCAATACCTTTATCAAAGTTCTTTGTTGCATGGTTTTTATTCTGAAAATGTAAGTCTAAATTATGCTTAAAATGCTTCCCAAATGAGTCATATATATGGGGTCTTTTCTGTGAAGGAATAAGATTTGGGCTTGGATGAGTGCATTTATCAATATCTGTAGAGTCATGATCCCACTCTGTATTCAATATTTTCTTATTAACAAAAGCAGTGTGACTCAGAGAGTTGCCCTGTTGTTCATGACATCTTTTTATCTGCTCAGCATCTTGGCTCAGCTCTTCTAAAATGGAATACAATGAGTTGTCCCTTGTATCATCACCCTCAATTTCCCTATGAAAAGTAGTTTTTCCAGAAATTCTTTCTTCTGAGTTCTTCATCCCAAATGTCCAACCTAAAGGGAAAGAGAAAGTAAAATTGACATAAAGAATAAACAGCTGATTGAAAGGCACACATAAACTAATCCAAATTGAACACACGTAAATTAGTAAATCTGATGATGATGATATAGAATGCATATATTTTGGGGTAAAACGATAGAAAATAATCAAGATACGTTACATATATGTACCTATTTCATAATACAAATATAACTGTTATATATTGTAAACAAACACTAAGAAGGAAAAACATATGTAGCACTTATTATCTGCCAAACTCTTACATGATACTTGCAGTATTTTAGGCACTGTTCTAAGCAATACAGTAAGTCTTTAACTTACAAACATTTGAGTTGCAAACTTTCATAGATCCGAACAGACCTCGCATTATGAACATTCATAGATGTGAACAAATCACAGAAGTAGCGCATATGTTTGCTGGACATTGTAATGTAATGGTTGTAATGCTGTGTGCTTACTGTACAGTGCAGTAGTATAGAGTAGTATAGTGCTCAATCAGAACCCTGGATGTTCAGAAGGAAGAGGAAAAGCAGTGGTGATGTACACAGGAGTTCTAGAAGTGCAAAGCAATAAATATTGTATATTTTTGTCAGAGGTGTGTAAGACTCACTTTGTCAAACATATGAATGAATCTGACTTATGGACATTCTCCCTTACTCTTTTGTAAGTTGGGGACTTACTGTATATACATATTCAGGATATAAGATCACACAAAAAAGTCAATAGCATTCCTGGACACCAATAATGAGCCCACTGAGAAAGTAACTAGGAAAATAACACCATTCACAATAGCTTCAAGAAAAATTAAATATTTTGGAATTAATCTAACAAAGGAGTGAAAGATCTCTATAATGAAAACTACAGTACTTTGAAAAAAGGAGATCAAGAGCATATTAGAAAATGGAAAGATATTCTCTGTTCCTGGATAGGTAAAATGGATATTGTAAAAATGGCTATGCTATGAAAACTGATGTATAAATTTAATGCAATCTCAATCAAAATACCAACATCATTCCGCACAGAATTAGAAAAAATAATTTTAAAATTCATATGGAAACAGAAGAGACCCAGAATAGCTAAAGCAATCCGGGGCAACAAGAGCATCATAATCCCAGATTTTAAGTTATGTTACAAAACTACAGTAATAAAAACAGTATGGTACTGCACAAAAACAGACATATGGATCAGTGGAACAGAATACAGGAAGCAGAAACAACACCAGGCAATTCAGCAATCTCATCTTTGACAAAGGGACCAAAAATATATACTGGAGGAAAGATAGCCTCTTTATCAAATGGTGCTGGGAAAACTGGCTATACACATGCAGAGGGTTGACTTTAGACTCATATCAATCACCATGTAATAAAATTAAAAGAAAATGGATCAAAGACCTAAATATTAAAACAAAAACACTTAACTTGTTTGAAGATAAAATGAGTAAAACTCTTGAAGACATAGGCATAGGCAAAGACTATTGGAACAAAACCCCATCTGCACCAGAAATAATATCAAGAATCAACAAACGGGATTATATAAATTTAACAGCTTCTGCAGAGTATAGGAAACACCTAACAATGAGGAGAAAATTACAAAATGGGAAAAATTTTTTTGAGCTGCTCCTTGGACAGAGGACTAATATGTGGAATATATAAATAACTGGACTTCTGGGAAGATGGTAGAGTGGTAAGCAGCAACAAATCACCCTCTCCAGGGTCCAGAATCCAGATATTGGAAAATAACAACTTGGTGAAGAAAAGAAGGAGGGATATGGATCCCTGGAACCCAGGAAGGATCTGAAGGGAACATTGGAGCCTATAGAGAAATTGAAGAGATAGACTACAATGGAGCAAGAGGAAGGGGCAATCTGCACTTTTTCCCTGGCTCCTGGTATATGGCTGGTAAGAAAGGAAGATCAAATTTACAGAGACACGGTGAAAGTGAGTGACTCCAGAAGCTTTCAGGAAGAAACACACCAGTGAAATGGAGCAGTGGAGGCTGTGTCCTACAACAGCTAGTGAGTGACTCCAGACCAAGTGTTTACCCTATCCCCTGGAGAGAGTGGTTGGTCAGACACCATTCTGGGGAAAGGCCAACTGATCTGAGGACTCACAGCAGTCATGAGATGGCTTCATCTCAGGGCTCCCAGTGCTAAACATACAGGGACAGGGTGAAGGACAACCACAGGAGATGTCCATGGTCAGGGAGCCATGGTCAGGCCAGCAACAGACACCCAGACTATTATAAGTTAAATGATTGAGGCCCCATTCCTGTAACCAAAGGCCAGATTCAGCCTGAGTTTCTATGGATTTGAAAGTCCCAGAACTAGCAACCTACCCTCATCCTATTGCTGGCTTGCTAGTGATTACTCAGCATGGATCTGGGCTCTGACTGCCTCTCTTGTCTACCACTGAGGGCAGAGTCACATCTTGAATTAGACTGAGAAAAAGAATCACAGCACTCACTAGCTGTTGTAGGACATAGCATCCAAAGCTCCATTTCACTGGTGTGTTTCTTCCTGAAAGCTTCTGGAGTCACTCACTTTCACCGTGTCTCTATAAATTTGATCTTCCTTTCTTACCAGCCATGTACCAGGAGCCAGGGAAAAAGTGCAGACTGCCCCTTCCTCTTGCTCCATTGTAGTCTATCTCTTCAATTTCTCTATAGGCTCCAATGTTCCCTTCAGATCCTTCCTGGGTTCCAGTGATAGCCACAAAACTATAGAACCCAGATGATAACCACAGGCTTGACATCATACATAAATTTTTTTCTCTCTCTGCTTTTGGTTCATTTTCTTTTCTTTTAGTTATCAGTGTGTGTGTGTGTGTGTATACTGTTTTTCATTTCCGTTTTGTTTTATTTTGTTTCTTTTATTTTTTCCTTCTATACTTCTCTCTTTTCTTCTTCACCAGTTTCCTGAGGCTTGGGTCATTGTCCTTTGTCTTTCAGCTTTGCTTCTAATCTCTTTTACTTCTTTCATTTCACTATTTTTTTCTCTTCTACCTTTTAAATTTTCTTCACTTACAGTAAAATTGCTCTATTGAGTGGATATTTACTGTATATAATCTTCTAGTTTGTCTTAGATTTTATTATATAACTATAAATCTTGTACCTATGGTTAAAGATAGCAAATTGTTAGTTATCACAGTTTGTCATTTTCCAGTCTGTGCTTGATGCTATTGTTATTACTAAGCATACACAACTCTAATTAGCCATAATCAAAGTAAATCTACACCAAGGTGTATAATAATACAGATTCCAGAAATTCAAGAAAAGAACAGAATATTAAAAGCTGTTACAGAAAAGAAACAAATCGCCTATGAAGGAAAGCCCATCAGAATCACAGAAGAAAGCTGGGTGTGGTGGTGCATGCCTGTAATCCCAGTACTCAGGAGGCTAAGGCAGTAGGATCACTGCAAGTTCAAGAACAACCTGGGCTACAAAGTAAACTCAAGGACAGCCTGAACTGCATAGACAGACCCTGTCTCAAAAAGGCAAAAAAAAAAAAAGAATCACAGCAGACTTCTCAACATAAGCCTTAAGTTAAGGAGAGATTACAGTGAAGTATTTCAAGTCCTGAAACAAAACAACATCCCATCTACATTGATGTACCCTGAAAAAAATCTGTCAAAATCAATAGAGAAATAAGATACTTCCACGACAAAGAACAACTGAAGAAATTCATGAGCACCAAACCCCAATAGAAAGAAGCCACCAGGGAAGGCAAGCAATTAAAAGATGGAAAAGACAAGGAACCAACAACAACAAAAAACAAAAAAACAAAAAAAAATCACAAGGATAAGGCAATACATATCACTTATGATCATCAATGTAAATGGTCTCAATTCACCAATCAAAACAAACTGACTGGTACAATGGATCAAGAAACATGATACAATAATATGCTACATACACAAAACACATTTAATCCAAAAAGAAATTTATAGGTTGAAGGTGACAGGATGGAAAACAATACTCCATGCAACAGGAAACTGGAAAAAAGCAGGGATAGCTATTCTATTTGCTGACAATGTGAACATCAAGTCAAGACTGATCAAAAGAGATAAAGAAGGTCACTACATTCTTGTTAAGGGAAAACTCCAAGAAGAAGAGATCATAATCATAAATATATATGCACCAAATACAGGAGCATTCAGCTTTATAAAACAAATATTACTGGACGTGAAAAATAAAGTAAACACTAATACAAGTGTAACGGGGGACCTTAACACCCCACTGTAACAAATAGATAGATCAAGTGGACAAAAAATCAACAAAGAAATATCAGAACTGAACCAAACCTGTGAATAAATGAACTTAGTAGATTGCCGTACAACATTAGAAGTTGTTCACCGCACAACATTAGAAGACACATTCTTCTTAGTTGTGCATGGGACATTCTCCAAAACAAATGATGTACTGGCCCACAGAACATGCTTAAGTTTTGGCAAAGGAAGTGAAATTATCCATGCATATTACCTGAACACAGTGCAATGAAACTGGAAATCAATGGCAAAAAAAACTACAAAAACTCCATAAACACATGGAAATTAAATAACACCCTACTGAAAGGGTCACAGATGAAAGTGAAGAAGAAATTAAACAGTATCTACAACTAAATGATCATCCTGATACAACATACTGTAACTTATGGGACACAATGAAAGCAGTCCTATGAGTGAAATTTATACTGCTGAATTCTCATATCAGGAAAACAGAATGAGCTCAAGCAAACAACCTAACATTAAACCTCAAACTTCTAGAAAAAGAACAAGTCAAGCCCAACACTCGTACAAGGAGAGAAATTATAAGGATCACAGTATAAATTAATGCAAGTGAGACTAAAAAAACAATACAAAGAGCCAATGGATCAAAGAGTTCGTTCTCTGAGAGATTACATAAACCAGACAAACCCTTAGCCAACCTTATCAATAAAAAAGGAAAGAAAAGACTCGAATTCATGCAATTAGGAATAAAAGAAGAATCACAATAGATACTGCAGAAATCAAGAAGATCAGCCAGTCACAATGGCACATGCATATAATCCCAGCTCTTGGGAAGCTGAGGCAGGAAGACTGCTGTGAGTTCGAGGCAAGCCTGGGCTACAAAATGAAGTCAAGGCCAGCCTCAACTGCATAGTGAAACACTGTCTCAAAAAAAGACAAAAAAAGAAAGAAATCCAGAAGATTATCAATCTCTACTTAGAAAATCTTTATTCTGATAAGATAGAAAACACGGAAGAAATAGACAGGTTCCTAGATACCTATAAATTACCAGAGCTGAATCAAGAAGATATAAAAATTATAAGTAAACCAGTATCAGTCAATGAAATTGAAAATGTAACTAAAATCTTACCGACAAAAAAAACCCCAGGTCCTGATTGGTTTGCTGCTGAATTCCCCAAAAAATTTAGACAAGTTCTAATACCATCACTCCTCAAACTCTTTAATGAAATTAAAAGGTAAGCAATACTCCTCAAGTCATTCCTGGAAGCAAATATTACTCTGATACCAAAATGAGAGAAGGATCCAACTGAAAAAGAGAACTATAGGCCAATCTCGCTAATGAACATAGACACAAAAATCCTCAATAAGATACTGGCAAACAGAATGCAAATCTTCAAAAAGATTATACACCATGACTAAGTAGAGTTCATCCAAGGAATGCAGGGATGGCTCAATATATGCAAATCAGTAAATTTAATACACCATATCAACAGAGACAAAGACAAAAGTCACATGAGCATCCAAATATATGGGGAGAAAACTTTTGACAAAGTCCAATACTCATTCATGATAATAACTACAGAAAATTGGAACAGATGGTCTTTATCTCAATCTGACAAAAGCTTTTACTGTAAAACAGGAACAAGACAAGGATGTCCACTATAACCACTGTTATTTAATATAATTCTGGGGACATTAGCCAGAGCATGAGACAAGAGAGAAAAATAAAAGGAATAGGGACAGGAAAAGAAGAATTTAAATTATAATTATTTAAGATGACATTATTTGCAGAATTATCTTCTACATAGAAGAACACAAAACCTCCACCAGAAGACTTCTAGATTTAATAACGAGATTCAGTAGCGTAGCTGTATACAAAGTCAACACCAAAAATCAATAGCATTCCTATACACAGATAACAAACTCACTGAGAGAGAAATTATTGAAACAACACCTTTCACAACAGCATCAATAAAAAAAATAGATAGGAATCAATCTAACAAAGGAAGTAAAACAACTCTACATTTAAAAGTACAGTACTCTGAAAAAGGAAATCAAAGAGGATATCAGAAAATGGAAAATTATCCCTTGGTCTTGTGTAGGAAGAACCAACAGAGTGAAAATGGCCCTACTCCAAAAATTGCTATACAAATGTAATGCAATCTCAATCAAAATACCTTTAGCATACCTCAAAGAACTAGAGAAAACAATCCTAAAATTCATTTAGAGCCAGAAGAGGCTTAGAATAGTAAAACAATTCTGGGCAACAAAGGCAACAGAGGGCATCATAACCCCTAACATGAAATTGTACTACAGAGCTATTGTGATAAATACAGCATGGTACTGTAAAAGCACAGACCTGAGGATCAGTGGAACAGATTAGAAGATGCGTAACAACTCCAAACACAATCAGTCACCTTATATTTGCCAAAGGGGCCAAACATGTTCACTGGAAGAAAGATAGACTATTTAATAAATGGTGCTGGAACCCTCCTATCATATTGTTTTGGAATTTTGCTTTTACATTTTTGTGTTTTTTGTTCTTTGTTTCTTTTTCTTTAAAATAAAATTTTAAAAAATTAAAAAAAAATGGTGCTGGAAAAATTGGCCTTCCACATGCTAAAGATTAAAACTAGACCCATGTCTACCACCATGTACTAAATGAAAATCAAAATGGATCAAAGATCTAAATATTAAAACAGAAACACTAAATCTGGTGGAAGATAGAACAGAGAGAAGCCTTGAAGACAGAGGTGCAGGCAGACTATGAACAAAAGCCTGATCACACAGGAATTATTACAAAGAATTAACAACTGGGATCTCATCTTATGGAAAAGCTTTTGCACACCAAAAGAAATCACCAACAGAGTGAAGACACAACCCACAGAGTGGGAAAAAATTTTAGCCAGCTGTTTCTCAGACAAAGGATTAATATCTTGAATATATAAAGAAGTGAAGGGGCTGGGGATTTAGCTCAGTGGCACAGCGCCTGCCTGGCAAGCTCAAGGTCATGAGTTTGATTCCTGGTACCGGAAGAAAAACAAAAAAAAACAAAGAACTGAAAAAAATCAGACCCCCCCCTAAATTTAAAGACCCAGTCCAAAAATGAGTATTTGAGATGAAAACACACTTCTCAGAAGAAGTACAACCTGAAAATAAATGTATGAAAAAATATTCAACATCACTGGTGATTCAAGAAATACAAATGAAAACAATACTGAGTTTCCATCTCCCTCCAGATAGAATGGCTATTATAAAGAAATCAACCCATATTAAATGCTGGCAATGTTGTGGGGAAAAAGGAACTCTTCTTTATTGCTGTGGGAGTAAAAACTGGCACAACCATTATGGAAATCAGTACGGAGATTCCTCAAAAATCTAAAACTAGAGGTTCTGTTTGATCTAGTTGTTCTCCTTCTAGGTATCTTTCTGAGTTAAAAGCATCAAACCACAGTGATATATGCACACCCATGTTTTTAACAGCACAATGTATAATAGTTAAATCTTGGAAATAGCCCATATGCCCATCAACAGATGAATGGATAAATAAATACATAAATAATGAGTTTTTATATACAATGCAGTAGTACTTTGCCATAAAGAATGATAAATTTGAGTCATTCTTAGGTAAATGGATGTACCTCATAATTTTAAGTGAAATAAATCAGAATATATAAAGAACCAATTTAAATATTGCACAAGTGTAAATATTGCACTGTTTCTCTTGTGTTAGAAAGTCAAAGGCAAATAAGGAACAAAGTGGAGGCTACATATTGGGAAGTAAGAAGAACATGTTCAAAAGAGAAGGGGAAGAAAGGAGATGGGAGGGGGAAAGGAGAAAGGATGAAAATAAAGAAAATGGAATGAAAAAATTGGAAACAAATCTTTTATAAATGGGAAGGGAAGAAGATGGAAGGGTGGAAAGGGGAATGGGAAGAGAAGAATTAAGATATGTTATGTACAGGTGCAAATTCTCTATGATGAATGTGATCGTTATGTATGGCAAATATGTACTGATATAAAATAAAAATAGACACAGGGTATGGTTTAAGTAATATAGAATTAAAATGTGATAGAAGTAAATAATATCCCAGAATGTAAGACCCATAGTGGGGAAGCCTAGCATAGGAAACAGAGTAGTATAGGAATTGGCGCAATTCAGGAAAGCCTAGCAAAGAAGGTAGTTTATAAGAATAATGAAAACAAAGGGAGAGAACCATTTGGTAACCGAGAAGCCAAAGCTATCTCTCTTCAAGCAATTTCTAAATTTAGAACCTTTAAGAAGAGTAATAGGTACCACTTTAAAAGCATTGGCTAAGGGAGGGGAGGAGGAAGGGGAAGGGGAGATAAAAAAATTAAGATGTGTTATGTCCGTGTACCAACTATCCACAATGAATATAATCATTATGTACTACAAACATATAGGAGCAAAAATAAAAATTAGAAAAATAAAAGCATTGTCTTCTCTTGGGGAAGAAATGACTTCTGCGTTTCTCTTCAAGTTGATTCACACTCACTCACCTGAACAACCATGATGTGGGGTTTCCTTCTCCCACATCCAGGGTTCCTCTCCATGTTCCAACTTGAAGAGGACCTCTGGTTTGGGAACTTCAAACCCTGTTAACAGAAAATGATAGAGAATTGGGTCCAGATCATTGCTTTCCTTATGTTCTTCAGAAAACCACATTTCCTTGGGAACAGAATAATAATCACAGAGTTAACAAGGGACTGAAAAATCTCAGATACATCAAGGATGACATCATCATACATTTCAGATGTCTCAGTTGCTGAGAAATAAAGTACTCTCACTGAGGCTCCATATCAGTTTTCTAGGGATGCTATCACAAAGTATGAACAACAGTGCTTAACGTAACAGAAATTTTTGTCTCATGTCTATAGAGGCTAGAGTCTGCAGTTGAGGTGCTAGCTAGGGTCATGCTTTGCTGATGAATGTAGGAGAGAACTCTTGCTTGAATCTTCTAGCTTCCAGTATTCTCTGGAAATCCTTAGTGTTCCTTAGTTTGTAAATACATCACTCCAGTGATATGGCTGTCTTCTCCCCATCCGTCTTCTCATTTTCTTCCCTCTATGTATGCTTGTAGAAGTGTCCCCCTGGACTCTGCCTTCATCTTCACATGGCTTTCTCCCTGTTTGCAGATCTCTGTGTCCAAATTTCCCCTTTTTGTAAGGACACCAGTCATATTAGATTAGGGCCCAGACTAATGGTTTCATTTTAATTTGCCAACCTGTATATGCCTAGTAATAAAGACTTTATTTTCAAACAAGGTCACATTCTAAGTGTTGGGAATTAAGATTTCCATATAGTCTTTTGAGGGGAGACAATTAAACCCAGAAGAGTCCCCTAGAATTCAGGTCCTTTTCATGTGCAAAATAGTCACTCCATTCCCACATTCTCAGAAGTCTTAATCATTCCAGCATCGACTCTTAAAACTTTTACCCTGACCTCATTAACTCTAAATCTCATAATTGGAACATCCAAATCACTTATGGGTGAACCCTGGGATATGATTCATCCTGGGATAAAGTTCCTCTCCATATGTGAATTCATGAAGCCAACTTCCAAAACAATGGTGGCACAAGATATAGGATATATGTTCCCATTCCAAGATGGAAAAAAAAATTGGGATTGAAAAAGGGCTCACGGGTTCAAGTTAAGTTCAAAACAGCAAATTCCATTAGGGTGTAAGGCTTGTAAATAATCCTTATTGGTTTCATGATTTATCCTCTGAGCCCAGTGGAGTGGCAGCCCTGCCCCCTCAGCTCTAGGCCAGGAGTCACATCCCTTACTATTAGTCCTAGTAATAAATTAGCACAATTTTTTCTTCCTGTGTCTGTGGCTATATGCTCTGATGCTCGAGATGTCTTAGTCCCAAAGGAAGGAATGCTTCCACCAAGAGATACAACAATAATTCTATTGCACAGGAAGTGAAGACTGTCACCTGACCACTTTGGGCAACTCGAGTCTGAAACCAATAGGTAAAAGAAAAGTGTTATGGTTATGACTGGGCTGACCAACCCCAAATACCATGGAGATTTGGACAGCCACTGTACCGTGGAGTGAGGAAGAGCATGTCTGGAACACAGGAGATCTCTTAGTGAATTTATGCCCAGTGATTAAAGTCAATGGAGAACTGCAACTCAATTGAAGTAGGACCAATAATGGTACAGACCTTTGGGATGATGAATCTCTCCTTCACTGAATTTTAGTCAGGCTCCTCTGAATTCCCTTCGTAACTAGGCCTTGACTTTTGTACTTCCATGTCTGTCTTTTCATCATTCAATTTTAGCAAGAATTCTGTTAAGTCAGTTCAGCCAGAATCTCCTAAACTTAACATCTGATCATCCTTGATAGCTAATCAAATCTCCCAGGTGATACTTGATTACTCTGACCTGTCCTTGGCAAAAATACTGTTAGGTTGCTTTAGCCAGAATCTCCTCTCACCCTAGATGTTTCATGTTAGTAATTTTCCATCCATTTGTCCCCTCCCTGCTCCTCAGCGATAAATTCCCACTTGTTCCTACTGTATTTGGAACCAAGCCCAGTTCTGTATTGAGGTTCTTTTTCTCTATTGCAACAGTTTTGAAAAAGATTTGTTTGTACAGCCTTAACTACTCTCTAGCTCTGGTTTACTCTGACACAGGAATGAAGGTTTGGGTCACCACAGCAGGTAAAGAATCATCACCCACTGAGATGCTTGCTAAGGGCAAAGTATTATGTACAAGGCAGCAGCAGAAGAAATTCTGCCTCAAGACTGCAACATACCCTGTCTCAAAAAGACAAAAAAATAAAAAAATAAAAAACAATTAAAAAAGCCGGGCATGGTGGTTCACTCCTGTAATCCCAGCACTTGGGAGGCTGAGGCATGAGGAGGACTGCTCCGAGTTCGAGGCCAGCCTGGGCTACAAAGTGAGCTCAAGGCCAGCCTGAACTGCATAGTGAGACCTTGTCTCAAAAAGACAAAAAAACAAAACAAAAAAAACCCCCAAATAAAAAAGACTGCAACATAGAAACCTTGCCTCAGTTTTAAATCTATTGGCCTGCCCTGTAGATGACGGAACTAGGTCTACAATATCACTTCTTACCTACATCTACAGCCTGCAGGCCTGTCTTCTGAATGTCAGACTTGCCAGTCCCTTCCCCCACAGAGCTACTGCTTCCATTTCTCTGGAGCAACCTAATGCACATTTTGGTACTGTCTTAACTACTTTTCTCATTGCTGAGACAAAATACTCAAGGCCCAAAATTAAAGGAGGAAAGGTTTATTTGGCTCAGTTTGTAGAGGTTTCAGTTCATATTTGGCTGGCTCCAAGGCAGAGCGGCACAAGGCAGAGGGACGTCACAGAAGAGAAACAATTCATGGCAGGCAGCAAGCAACAAGTGACAAGTGTCAACCCTCTTTCTGTCCCTTGTATCTTATCCAGCCTACCTACCCTTTGGGTGGGTATCACTCACACCCAGGCTATGGCGGCTTTAATCCTAGCATTGCACCATGAATCAATCCCAGTATCATATCCTTGATCTTGGTATCACACATCCTAGATCCAGCCACATCCGAGAAGCCCCACCTATGACCACATGAGGTTTTCAGGGGGACATCTAGACATGAGCCAAAACAGGTACTCAGAGTATTTCTAGAGGAACAGCATCTTCAAGATGGGTTTTTCTGAATTAGTTCTGGGATTTCTGGAATTAGTCCTCCAATTTGACTAGATCTAAAGGCATTAATAACTATTTCTAGTAGTAAAGAGAAACACAGTTCATGGCATGATGTGGTAGCACACATAAGCAAAATATCAACATTGTATACTCCTAATCAAATACTTCTGAGGGACAATGTTCTGGGCATCCATGGATTTGATATTATACATTTCTGTATAATAAAATAGTCTGGTTACTACAAATTACACCGGACAAAGTGAGGAAGAAAAGGATGAGCTCACAAATTCAATTTCCTAGCTCATCGTCCAAATAAATGATTTGAAAATGCTTACAGCTTCCCTGGAATAAATCCTTAGTTAGCTCCTGTAGTCACAGAGCTGAGTTGGATGAAAACGTAATGTAGAATTTTATCCAGCAAATGGTTAAATTATAAAAAAAATTGAATTTCCAACCTCATTTACTGGGAAGATACAGGATCCTGAACATTGGAATGAAAACAATGAACCTTTTCATTCTTATCAATCTCCTTTACCAGTAGAAGCAGCCCTTCCACCCCTGTGTTAGTCAACTTGTTACTGCCTACAACCGAATAGCACAGACTGGATAATTAATATGCAATACGTGTTTATTTGGCTTGCAATTCTGGAGGTTGGAAAGTCCATGAGCATGGCCGCAGCATCTAGCAAGGGCCTTCACACTGGATCCTAACAGGGTGGAAGAGCAAGTAAGCCTGTGCAAGGCGCAGAATGAGGGGCTAAGAGGGGACAAATTCATAACAAACCCACTGCTGTGATAACTAACCCGCTTTCCTAAGGACATCAATCCAATCATGAGGGCAGAACGCTTGTGACCTAATCACCTCTTAAAGGACCCACCTCTTAATATCACAACAGCAGTTAAATTTCAACACGAATTTTGGTGGGTATATTCAAACTATAGCTACTGAGAATAGCCTGAGAACTTGCAATGGCCTCTTCTGCTGTGATTTGGCTGAGTTTTCCTGAAAAGTCTGTGTATTAAGGGACGGTTCTCCAGACGATACTCTTAGGAGATGGTGGAACCTTTAGGAATTGGGACCTAGTGGAAGGTCTTTAGGTCAATGAGAGTGTAACTTTGGAGTGAACTGTGGGATCCTGGTCTCTTCTTTTTTCCTGGCTCATGAACTGAGCAGTTTTCTGTGCCATAAACTCCTGTCATGATGTGCTGCCTTTGTTAGAGGCCCAAAGCAATGGGGCCATTCAGTCTTGGGTTAGAACCTCTAGAACTGTGAATCAAGATAAACCTTTTCTCTTTTCGAATTGCCTGAAGTATTCCATTATTGTAACAGAAAGCCAACTACCACATGCCCTTGCCAGGCACTGCTGATTCCTCCCAAGGACCTTTATCTATCGCTCTTCTTTTCTTCTATGCCTATAACTAGAGTCAAATCCAAGAGGGCCCCAAAGGATGAATTACACAGAATGGCCTATGAGGATGTGTGAACACCAAAGGAACTGAATAATCTATCCAATATGTACAGACAGAGACCTGGAGTATGCATGTGGCAATGCATATCTAGAGTGGGATCGTGGTGAGCCAAGTATGGTAATGCATGCCTGTAATCCCATCACCCTGGGAGACTATGGCACTAGGATTGAGAGTCTGACTCCAGCCTTGGCAATTTAGTGATTTAACAAAATCTTGTCTCAAAATTTAAAAATGTAAAAGGGGCTGGAGATGTAGCTCAGTGCAAAGGCTCTGTGCTCAATCCCTAGCACCACCAAAAAATAAAATAAAATAAAGTGGTATAATGGTAAAAGGAACAAAACACTGGATCACATTAGATGGATTGATATAGACCCACTATGCAGAGATTTTGAATTTGATACCGCTGTTTTAGGGGTTAGAAAAAGGTTCTAACAGTTTGGTTGTTTGGCTTAAGCAGAGACCAAAAGAT